ATATGTGTGTGTAGGTTTTTAAACTCAAAAGAAGCATCACTAAAAGCATCACAGATTATTTAGACAGATTCAATATGAAGGTTAATATATATTACATATCCAACAATTTAATTTTATAATTTGGGCAATGCCTGGGATTTCCGCTACCCTCCCCTCACCCATTGTGGCTCTGGCAGTAGTTTTGAAAACCAATGCACAATGTACACCATCAGAATTGTTACTGCTGAAACTGACAAAGGACTAATCTCCAAAATACACAAGCAGCTCATGCAGCTCAATATCAAAAAAAACAAGCAACCCAATCCAAAAATAGACATTTCTCCAAAGAAGATATACAGATTGCCAACAAACACATGAAAGGATGATCAGCATCACTAATCATTAGAGAAATGCAAATCAAAACTACAATGAGATATCATCTCACACTGGTCAGAATGGCCATCATCAAAAAATCTAGAGACAATAAATGCTGGAGAGGGTGTGGAGAAAAGGGAACACTCTTGCACTGCTGGTGGAAATGTAAATTGATACAGCCACTATGGAGAAGAGTACGGAGGTTCCTTAAAAAACTAAAAACAGAACTACCATACAACCCAGCAATCCCACTACTGGGCATATACCCTGCGAAAACCGTAATTCAAAAAAAGTCACATACCACAATGTTCACTGCAGCTCTATTTACAATAGCCAGGACATGGAAGCAACCTAAGTGTCCATCGACAGATGAATGGGTAAAGAAGATGTGGCACATATATACAATGGACTATTACTCAGCCATAAAAAGGAACGAAATTGAGTTATTTGTAGTGAGGTGGATGGACCTAGAGTCTGTCATACAGAGTGAAGTAAGTCAGCAAGAGAAAAACAAATACTGTATGCTAACACATATATATGGAATCTAAAAAAAAATGGTTCTGAAGAACCTAGGGGCAGAACAGGAATAAAAATGCAGACGTAGAGAATGGACTTGAGGACACGGGGAGGGGGAAGGGTAAGCTGCGATGAAGTGAGAGAGTGGCATGGACATATATACACTACCAAATGTAAAATACATAGCTAGTGGGAAGCAGCTGCATAGCACAGGGAGATCAGCTCTGTGCTTTGCAACCACCTACAGGGATGGGATAGGGAGGGTGGGAGGGAGATGCAAGAGGGAGGGGATATGGGGATATATATATATGTATATGTATAGCTGATTCACTGTTATAAAGCAGAAACTAACACACCATTGTAAAGTAATTATACTCCAATAAAGATGTTAAAAAAAAAAAGAATTGTTACTGCTGAGAATACATTTTACGTAAGAGGGTTTTTAAAGCAGAAAAGAACAACCACAGGGAACAGACAATCCCGATTTTGTTATTTTGAGTGGGGATTAAATAAATTTTTTAGATATCAATGGTGTATTTAATTTGAATAGTTCTGATTAATAACTGCTGCTTATCTTCTCACACAAGGAACAGATTTCCACCCCATCCTGGGTACTAACAATAACAACCACTTCTGTAAAGCTTACTACGTGTTAGGTACTCTTCTAAGCACTTTAAAGATATGCACTCATTTAATCTTAATAACAACTCTAAGAGGTAGGGAGTATTATCCTCAGCTTACACATGAGGAAATTCAAGTCTAGAGAAGTTAAGTAACTTGTCCAAGGTAATACAGCTAGGAAGTAGTGGAGCCAGAATTCAAATGTAGGCAGTTTAGTTGCTGAATCCGTTCTCTTAACCACTCTGCAGCAAGAGAGAGCAGAGCATTTCATATACAAGTATTTTTAGACCTCTGCTTCCAGTAATGGAAGACTGGGTAACTCAGATGAACCCTCCCAGACAGCTAGAAAAGCTGTCGATTTTAAAAAATTGAATCAAATGCATCAGATAATTAACAAAGGGTAGAGAATTACCAGGCCACAGTCTAAAGATGGCAGAAAGCAGAGAAGTAAGCCACACCTGGGGCTTCTTTCACTATAGGGACATTTGACAATTCTGGAAAAGATAGCTAGGAGGCTGTTCAGTATTTTTGCCAGTTTCATAAGGCTACTGGAACAAAAGTTGAAGTCCAAGTCCTGTCAAGAGTGAGAGCCTGGCAAAACCCTCAGGATTGGACTGGGACTCTGAAAGCTGCATCTTAGGAATAAGGGTGAACCAGAAATAAACTGAAACTTTCATGGACTGCAGTCCAGTTTCAAGTCATCCAGGTAGACCAGAAAATTTCAATCCCTGAAACTGAGTTAAGGTGATCCTGTCCTATCAATGCTTCTTCCAGGCATCTAAGGGCAAGGAAAATCCTCTATGAAGGAATATAATATTATCTGAGATTTTAAGCTATTTCTACAATTTTTCAAATAAAATATCTGGCACATAGTGAAAGAAAATCAGGCATAAGAGAAAAGACGATATGAACATGATGCAGCAGAAAAAAACAGATGTTAAAAACAGAAACAGGGACGTTCTAGATATTGGGATTATCAGAGAAAGACTTTAAGATACCTACTTTATTTTCAAGAGATAACAGATTATATTTAAACTTTTGGCAGAGAATTCAAACCTATAAATAATACGAGAGATGTGAAAAATAAATAGAAATTCAAGAATTAAAAAATGTTTCAAAGGGGTGAAATCACACAGTGTATGTTCTCTGGCCACAATGCAATTATGTCAGAAATCATTGATAAAAAGATAATTTTCATATGTTTTAAAATTAAGAAATACACATCTAAATGGAATAAATATACCTCTAAATCAAAGAGGAAGTAATAGTGGAAATTAGAAAATATTTTTGAACTAAATTATAAAAACAATGCTATAGTATGCAGTTAAAATTGTACTTAGAGAGAGGTTTATAGACTTAAATGGGTATGTTAGAAGAAGAAACATTAAAAATTAATGAGTTAAATGCCTTATAAGAAGATACAAGAGGGACTTCCCTGGTGGTTCAGTAGTTAAGAATCCGCCTGCCAGAGCAGGGGACACAGGTTCGTGCCCTGGTCCAGGAAGATCCCATATGCCACAGAGCAACTAAGCCCGTGTGCCACAACTACTGAGCCTGTGCTCTAGAGCCTGCGAGCCACAACTACTGAGCCCACGTGCCACAGCTACTGAAGCCCGTGCACCTAGAACCTGTGCTCTGCAACAAGAGAAGCCACTGCAATGAGAAGCCCGCACACCGCAACGAAGAGTAGCCCCCACTCGCCAAACCAGAGAAAACCCGCACGCAGCAACGAAGACCCAACACAGCCAAAAATAATTAATTAAAAAAAAAAGAAGATACAAGAATTAAAAAAAATAATATGGGGCCAAAGAAAGTTGAAAGAAGGCTGTAAAGAGCAGAAATGAATGAACCAGAAAACAAACAGTAGAGAAGATCAACAAAGCCAGAGGTTGGTTCTTCACAAAGACTAATAAAATTGATAAATCCCTGAGGAATCCAATAGAGGGGCAAAAAGAAAGGTAGCCAGTGTTATGAATTAAAAAATGGATGTTACAACTGATTCTGCACATATTAACAAGCTAATAAAAGGATTTTATGAAATCTTTATGCCAATAAATTTGAAATTTTTGATGTAATAAATTCCTAGAAAAATACAACTTACCAAAAGCTAACACAAGAAGAAAACAAGAAATGTGAATAGTTATGGAATGGTTAAAAAAACTGAATTTGTAATTAAACTATTAAAGATATGAAATTTGTAATGAAAATTCTTCTCACAAAGAAAAATCCAAAATCAGACAGCTTTATCAGCAAATTCTTCCAATCACTGAAGGCAGAAATAATTCTAATTTTTACACAAATTATTCCAGAGAATGATAAAAGAGGGACAATTCCTTAACCTGTTTTATAAAGCCAGCAATAAAGGAAAAGTATAGACTAAAAATATAAGAAAAGAAGGAAAAACATAATTAATAAACATAATTAATGTCAGAATGGTGGTTAAGTTTAGGCAGGAGGGAAGAAGTTGTAATTGGGAAAGGGCAGGTGGGTTTCTGGGGGCTGACAATGTTGTTTCTTGACCTCAGTGGTAGTTTCCACTCATTTGCTTTATAATAAATCATTAAGATACACATTTCTGTTTTTTACACTTTGCTGTATATATATTACAATTCACACTAAAATTTTTATTGAAATTTATGCGACCAGTTTCACTTAATGAGAGAATGGCATAAATATTTGTTGACTCTCATCCTTAGATTTCAGTAATATTCTTGACTCTGTCTTTACTTACTCTAACAGACTTACAACTTGCATTTCTTGGATATTATTTTTTAGAGGTTAATCCTTTAATGTTTACTAGTTTCCAAATTCCACTAACATATTATACTGGAATCAACAGTTACAATTACTCTTTTAAATAAAGGCATATTCTTGAATACTCTATACTCCCTAACTTGGGGCATTGTTTTTAAAATCCAAAATTTCATCTTGGGTTATAACACACAAAGATTAACCAATGATCTGTATGTCTGCAAGGTGTACAATATTAAGACAAATGAGATGAGTACAGTTCATCTGGGACTAAATAAACATCAACTCAGCAGTTTTTCTGGGAACTTTCACATCTGTTTCCTAACACTGATTATTTTAATCTATTTGTCTTCAGTCTTTGTCTACCCAGCCCTCATTCAAAAGCATCTGTCTAGATGTAAATAGCTTTTATAGTAACAGGATATTTGATTTAATGATCTGAAATATGAATGATCTTTTATTAGGACCAAGCCATTTTATTTCTTCTCTATAGCCATAGTAAAAGGAACAGCTAAGTGAACATATTGTACATCAAATTTTATTTTGACAGCAATTATAAAGCCTATACTGAAATACTGCTCCTATCCACCTTTCTAAATTCTTTTTAACATCCCCTTTAGGGTAAACACTAAGCATCAAAATATAGCAGACTAAAACAATTCTGCCTCAAATTATGGAGACCCAAACTTTGGTCTATACACTGTTACCAATTTGATTAACTTAAATAAAAGTAGTATTTCTATCATAAAGTTTCTTACTTTTGGAACATGAGGATTAAATTCCACAGCTCTATGAATTGCTTCCACAGCATTAATTTCTGCTGTGCTTAACCCTCTTCTGGAGGCTGTTTCTGGAGAAAATCTGTAAGAAAACCACAAAATGAAGAAATAAATATTTAAATAAATAAGTATTTTAATCAATTAATTGAGATCGTAATCTAGCCCCTAAATCAGAGGTTTCTGGTGATGGCTAAAGTCAAAGCCAAATGGCTACTAAACATAAAAGTAAAGCCTTTGGTTCAACATATAAAGGAAGGCAGCACAAGAAATGGAAATATTCAAGTTAAGGTGAAGAAAGCCTTCAGAAGTCCATTAAAGGCACACTTTGGGCAAAGTAATAAAATAAGAAATGCCACACAGGGACATCTAGAGAATCTCATGAAATAGAAGTACATTCTTATCAAATTTTCACTGTTCACAGACTGTGAACAGTCCATTCTAATTCATATCAAGCCACAGTAATCTAAGGTGAAAGAAAGCAGTTGCCATTTGGTTGGTTTCTGAATAACTTACCTGTGGAATAAAGAGAAATTCATTAAGGACAGCCAAAAATACAAGGAAATCAGAATAACTCAGAATTATAATCTCAAAACAGGTAACAGGAAACCTATTTCCCTACCACGTATCTTACCATTACCACCATAGCTACTATGTACTGGATATACTTTCTATCTAGCATTGCTTTGGGCATTTAACACATATAATCCTCACACAACCACCCTACAGTATTATTATTCTCATTTTACAGATAACAAAGAAACTCAAACTCATTAACTTGACCAAAGTTCCATAGCTGGTATGCTGTAGACTTTGAATTTGAATCAAGTTTACTTAGCTCTAAAAACCTTGCTCTTTCCACTACACATAGTAAGAAGCTTCTAAGCCCCATAAGATCAAGGGTTATTCAGCAGGAAGTAGGGGAAAAAAAAGCATTGTTTAAAGTCAGTGGATGAAAAACAATATTGAGTTTAGCAGTCTTTCTAAACTATTATAGTTTTCATAACTACTTACTTATCTGAAACAGTCCTTGTCTTCAATAGTGCTGCTGTATAACAGATGGCTGCTGACTTTGGAAGGCTTATATCTATAATAATAATTTTTAATTTAGGTAAGAATCGCAAAAATATCTTAAGACAATTTCTAATAAGACTAATTCATAGTTCAAATTCAACGGATATAATATAGTAGTAAAAGCACATGGACATATAATTGGAAAACCTGAGTCTGAATCTTGATTCTACTATTTACCAGCTATGCATCCTTGAACTAGCACAACTTCTTTAACCTCAGTTTTCCCAAAATAGAGAAATGGTACTTTTCTAGCAGAGATTAAATTAAACCATGTCTGTGAAAGCCCTCATACAATGGTAAAAAGTACTCAACAAATGCTTATAAGAAGCTGCTTATAATAATACTATCCAAGGAAAAAGCCATTGTATAGATAGAACTATGTAAAAACTCCACCTATTCACAGAGAAAAACTAAGATTAAGAAAAAAAAAATTAACAGGACTTCCTTGGTGGCCCAGTGGGTAAGACTCCGCACTCCCAATGCAGGGGGCCTGGGTTCAATCCCTGGTTGGGGAACTAGATCCCACAAGTTTGCCACAACTAAGAGTGCACGTGCTGCAACTAAGAAGCCCACATGCCACAACTAAAGATCCTGCGTGACACAATGCAGATCCCACATGCCGCGACTAAGACCCGGCACAGCCTAAATAAATAAATGTTAAAAAAAATTAATAATAGTTAAGTCCAGGTGATATAATCATGGGTGGTTTTCATTTTTTTCTTCTTCCGATGTTTTTGCATTTTCTAAATTTTCTTAAATGATGATTTTTTTATAAAATAAAAAGAAATTAAGAACTACAATGAAATTAATTATATGAGTTCTTTCTTAAAGAATGACCAAAATAATGTTATTGGCAGAGTAAGACTACAGAACTCTCTTTCCAGATTCCAGAGTTATACCAGCAAATGGAGAACTAAAGAAGTAAACTTGCTTTTAACTTTTTCAGGATTCTAGAAGGGTAAAAACTGGGGACTCATAAAAATAACTGAAAACACAGAAGCATATCCAAGTTGCTAGTTTTATTTTATTTTTAATGAATAGGTCCTATCTGATTTTTCATATTCAGTCCCTAAGCTTGTTCATCATAAGTATCATAAGCAGGCCATGCATCTGATAAGTAACATATGGAAAGAATTTCTCACAAATTTCTCCATGAGCCTATACTACTCTAAAGCACTTCCTAAGAATTCCAGATGTTTAAAAGAAATAAACTTCTCTTTCCAAGTGTAACAAATTTCAAACTTTCCAAGTCATGGAGATTCCCAAGCTAATGGGTAGGAGCTTACAACAGGAGAGTGTGAATAAGTGACTTAAATGTGTTCTAATACAGTGAAAGATATGACCAGAAATATTATGCTAGTTAGGATGTTTCCAGCTTGGGGTTAAAAGCTGATGCGTCACTCAGAATGAGGAGAAAGGCTATGCTTCTCAAAAATTCTCCCAACTCCATTTGTGGTAAACTGGAACTGTTATCGTATAATAATAAAAATAGCCAACATATATTGACTTCTTACTTACTGTTGGGAGACTAGTAAACAAACAAATGGAATACCTAAGTTTAAGTTCAAGCTTGCCACTTACTGGCTAGAAGACCTTACCCAATCACTTAACCTTCTTCTACTCCAGTTTTCTTATTTACTAACCGGAAACAGTAAAAATATTGTACTTGTCCTACCACCTCACAAGATTGTTATAAGGATCAGATGAGATAATAAATTATACTTTGTAACTAAAAAGCATCGTAAAATGTTATTCTGAGTTACTCTTATATATACTCTAAGCAACTTCTGTTAGCCTTCCCTGCCACTCCAAAACAAATGAAGTGCATAGCACCCCATACTTTTCTATTACCTCACCTAACACGCTATGCCTCAATATAACTACTATTCATTTGTCTGTATGTTCCACTAAACGGTAAATTCTACGAGGGCTAAGTCCATGTCTTCTTATTCACCACTGTATTCCAAGCGCCTCACTCACATTAGGCGCTCAATAAAAAAATGAATATATCTTGAGAGAAGGAAAGTTCCTCCTTGCAGACTTTTGCTACCAAAAGTACTGATAAAGAAGATACTTAATAGCAACTTATATCCACAGATACTAGATACTGGCTGGTAAGAATGCAAAGAGAAAATCACAGAAATACCAGAGTAGGATCACATTTATGATTACTTAATAGAAAAAAAATACTTTAACCATGCTATTAACTAAGAGAATTATCACTCACCATCATATTTTGCTAGAACTGCTTGGACATCTGCATAGGCCTGTAATTCTAAAAGTGATTCTAGGAGATTTTCATGGATGTTCAACATGGTAAGAGGGGGAAATTCTTTCATCAACTGTATATTAAAAAGAAAAAAGATTAAAATTATACAAAAGGAACTCAGAGCTGAATCAAATTCACTGAGGTAGAAATTCTTTTGTTTCTTAAAACTGTGGAGACTCAACCTCTAAGAAATCTATGTATATTAAATAAATATCTTGTTATAAAACTATCAATTAAAAAAAACAGTGATTCTGGGGAATTTCTTGACGGTCCAGTGGTTAGGATTTGTCACTTTCTCTGCTGGGGCCCGGGGTTTGATCCCTGGTCAAGGAACTAAGACCCCACAAGCTGGGCAGCATGGCCAATCAATCAATCAATGTTAAAAAAAAAAAAAAAAGGAAAACACATAGTGATTCTGCATTAACTTAACTGGCAACTTAAAACACATTCTGTTTTTGAAGGAATAAAGATAAAGGTTGAGTCATCAAATTTACTTACATCTCTCATTATTTTTACTGCTTCTCTTATTCTTCCTAATTTTCTTGCACACATTGCCAGTCTTCTTTTAATATACACCAGTACATTGGTATCTCTCCCTATTTAGAAAAACAACAAATGACACAAAACTATCACTTTTATATTATGACCTGCTACTTCATTAACATATTACCTGTTAATTTTATTTGCTTACCTTGGGAGGTTCAATTAAAATTAAATTGTGTCAGAATGGAAGAATATTAATAATAGTTGAATTTGGGTGATGAACAATGAACGAAGGTTCATTATACTGCTCTATTTTTATAGATGTTTGAAGTTTTTTATATTAAAAGCTTAAAAAATATATATAGAGAGAATTACTTTTGCCTCTAACATTAAGTAATCGGAGTACAGTATATATAAAGTAATTTGTGTATACTTGGCAAGTAGATTTTACTATTAAAAGACATACATTAATAAGAAGAAATAACATTATTAAGTTTCTGCATAAACAATCTACTATTTTAATATTCTCTATTATCTTAGCTGACAAACAAAAGATATTCAAAACAAAATTTCCATGCTAGCATAAATTTTTGGTCAACAGCAAGTAACTAACAAACTACAAAACTACTTCTAGAAAGGGCTAACAAATATTTCTGGAACTATCTCATAACTATATCTGAGATTATACAAGGACAAATGGCATGACTTTTTTACAGATGTAGTTTCATTAGTTCCAGACTGCAAAATTACATATTCCCACAGTTGTGTGTTATAACAACACGCATTAACGAAACATACTATATACATCAATATTTAGTTTAGAGAGAAAACATTATTCTAATTTTAATTTACACAAACAAAAGATTTAGAACTTAACTCCAGGAGATAATGCATTATATAAACATATTTCAATTTATTGCCCATTATCTGCCAAAATCATGAAACTAAAGCCCTCTGGCCACACAAAATAGCAGGAAGCAGCAGCATTACAGATTCTAACATCTTTGGTAAAAGTGTCTCGATCACAACTGGGAGGGTATGCCTGAGAGTGGAAAGAAAGGACCTCAGTTGCTACGGCCCATATGGTCTCAAACACATCATGGAGAAAAAACAACCAAAGAAATAGTCAATATCAAGTGTAAGGCTGGTTTTGTGCTGAAGGGCCACTCCCTGGCACTATATGGAGATATATACTGTCTGAAGAGCAAACCAAATGATATACCTCTACTATTGCTTGGGTAAGGGTGAGGATAAAGGTAATAGCTACTTATTATCACTAGAAGGTTCTCTTGAATCTTGAATACTTTTGAGTTGTGTTTCTCCAATGACCAGCCCAATTCTCACATGAAATAAATTATTGTTAAGTTTCAGAGCAGCACATCTCTCAATAACCAGAACAGATCTGTTCCCTTCCACAAGCATTCTCTAGCTAATATACATTTCTGTCTTGCTGACTTGAATAGATTTGTTATCTCTTATGAAAAGGAGCTAACTTTTAAGTATTAAGTTTTTTAAATTGTTGTTGTTTTGTGTTTTACACATAAAACAGGCAGTTGCAGGAACTAAAAGGGGAAAATTAGTTCAAATTCACTTACTCAGTTGAGCTTCATGCTGAGGACTTTGGTGCTGGCACTGTTGTGACCGCCTGTAAATTGTTTCTCCTGCCTTGAGTGCCTGTTTAAATAACCTTTCAGCATCTACAATAGTTGTTGCTTCTTCCTCAGCCAGTAGAACATATGCAGTAGCACAGCTATAAAGAAAGCAAGCAAGGCAATTTTAAGTAAAATGGTAAGACAAGTATTTTCTTTGGGGTATGTCCCTTTACATCACATTTCCGTATCTTTCCCTACACTTTCTGTAATAGGGAAGAACATTTGTATTCTATTACAAATTAATCACTATATGGATGTTGCCTGTAAGCTTAAATTATATATAATGACCCATCTCTCAGAACCCTGCCTCCCAGGTAATGAGCATTAAGCTAATATACTTCTGTTTAGCTCACAGGAAACATCTTGACCAGGCCCACCTGTGAATGACTGCAGGGAGGAAGAAATTAACACATCCCCTCTGGAGGCTGATGGGAACCAGAAAATGTTTGACTTTACTCCCTCCCCTTTTAGTATAAAAGAAGACTGAATTCCAACTCAGGCAAGATGGTTCTTTGGGGCATGAGCCCACCATCTTCTCAGTTTGCTGGCTTTCTGAATAAAGTCGTTACTCTTTGCCCAACAACTCATCTCTTGATTATTGGCCTGTTGTGTGGCGAGCAGTACGAGCTTAAACTTGGTAATAAATTTTGGTTTTTCAAAAACACTATTTTTTGTTTTTATTTTGTTCTGTTATTGCTGTTAAACGCCTCTTGTGAAGGGATATCTCATTGTGTTTTTCATTTTCATTTCCCTTATGATGAATGACACTGAGCATCTTTTCATGTATTTTTCGGTCATTTGTATGTCTTCCTTGAAGAAACAGACATTTCAAGTCCTTTGCCCATTTTTAATTGGTTGTCTTTCTGTCACTGAGTTGTAAGAGTTCTTTATATATTCTGGATAACTAGACCCTTATCAAATATGACGTGCAAATATTTTCTCTCATCCTGTGGGTTGCGTTTTCACTTTCTTGACAGTATCCTTTGATGCACAAAAGCTTTTAATTTTGATGAAGTCTATCTAATTTTCCTTTTTTGCTTGTGCTTTTGGTGTCATATCTAAGAAACCACTGCCGAATTGACAGTCACGAAAATTTGCTCCTATGTTTTCTTCTAAGAGTTTTATAGTTTTAGCTCTTAAATTTAGGTCTTTAATTTTTAATTGTGTATGGTGTGTGTTAAGGGTCTAACTTCATACTTTTGTATGTGGTTATCTAGCTGTTACCATTTGTTGAAAAGACTATTGTTTCCCCCACTGAATGGTCTTGGCACCCTTGTCAAAAATCAATTGACCACAGATGTATGGGTCTTTTTCTGGACTCTAAATTTGATTCCATCTAGATTAGATGGCTATTCTTATTATTTAATTACTGTAGGTTCATAGTAAGTTTTGAAATCAGGAAGTGAGTCCTCCTACTTTGTTCTTTTTCAAGATTGTTTTGGCTACTGGAGGTCTCCTGTAATTCCATATTTTAGGATCAGTTTGTCCATTTCTGCAAAACGGGCGATTGAAATTTTGATGGAGACTGCACAGAATTTGTAGATCAACTTGAGAAGTACTGATATCTTAACAATCGTAAGTCTTCCAATCCATGAACACAAGATGTCTTTCCATTATTTAGGTCTTCTTTAACTTCTTTTGATAATACTTTGTAGTTTTCAGTGTACAAGTCCTGCACCTCCTTGGTTAAATTTATTCTTAAGTGTTTTAACATTTTTGATGCTATTGTAAATGGAACTGTTTTCTTAATTTCCTTTTCAGATTGTTCATTGCTACTATATAAAAAACAACTGATTTTAAGTTGATCTTGTCTCCTGCAACTTTGCTGAACTCTTTTATTAGCTCCAATAGTTTTTTGGTGGATTCTTTAAGGTTTTCTATATATAAGATCATGTCATCTGTGAAGAGAGACAGTTTTACTTCTTCCTCTCCCACACAAAAGCCATTTTCCCTCTCTTCTTGCCTAAGTGCATTGGCTAGCACCTCCAGTACAATGTTAAATAGAGGTGGTGGGATTCCCTGGTAGTGCAGTGGTTAAGAATCCACCTGCCAATGCAGGGGACATGGGTTCGAGCCCTGGTCCGGGAAGATCCCACATGCCGCAGAGCAACTAAGCCCGTGCACCACAACTACTGAGCCTGTGCTCTAGAACCCGCAAGCCACAACTACTGAAACCCGTATGCCTAGAGCCTGTGCTCTGCAACAAGAGAAGCCACCACGAGAAGCCCACACACCAAAACGAAGAGTTGCCCCTGCTCACTATAACTAGAGAAAGCCCGCACATAGCAACAAAGACCCAATGCAGCCAAAAATAAATAATTAATTAAAAAAATAATAAATAGAAGTGGCAAGAGCAGACTTTCTTGCCTTATTCTTGATCTTAGCAAGCTTTGAGAGTTTCAGTCTAAAGTACATAGTTAGCTGTAGGTTTTTCATAGACGTCCTTTATCAGTTTGAGGAAGTTTCCTTACATTCTTTATTTGTTTTTATAATAAAATGGTGTTGGATTTTGTCAAATACTTTTTCAGCATCAACAGAGATGATTGTGTGGGTCTTGTGCTTTGTTCTGTTAATGTGATGTCTTACACTGACTGATTTTCACATGTTAAACCACCCTTGCCTTCCTGGGATAATCCCACTTGGTCATGGTGTATAATCCTTTTAATCTGCTGCTGGATTTGGTGTGCTAGTATTTCGTTGAGAATATCTGCATCTATATTCGTAGTGAATATTAGTCTGTAGTTTTTGTTTCTTATGATGTCTTTCTTTGGTTTTGGTATGAGAGTAATACTGGCCTCAGAATAAGTTAGGAAGAATTACTTCCTCTTCTATTTCTTTGAAGAGTTTGAGAAGGACTGGTGTTAATTCTTCTTTAAGAGTTTGGTAGAATTCAGTGGTGAAGCAACCTAGTCCTGAGCTTTCTTTGTTTGGAATTTTTTAAATTACTGATTTGATCTCTTCATTTGTTATAGGTCTATTCAGATTTTCTTTTTCTTCTTGAGTCAGTTTTGGTAGTTTGTGCATTTCTGGGAGTTTGGCCATTTCATCCAAGTTAGCCAATTTGGCATACAATTGTTCATAGTATTCTATTATAGTATTTTTAATTTCTTTAAGGTCAGTAGTAATGTTCCAGTTTCATTCTTGATTTTAAGTAAGCTGAGTTTCTCTCTTTAATTGGTCAGTCTAGCTTAAAGTCTGTCAAGTTTGTTGATCTTTTTAAAAATACCCAACCTTTAGTTTCATTCATTCTCTCTATTGTTTTTCTATTCTCTGTTTTGTTTATATCACTCTAATCTTTATTACTCCCTCCCTTCTGCTTGTAGTTGGCTCTTCATTTCTAGTTCCTTAAGGTATAAAGTTAAGTTTTTGATTTGAGATCTTTCTTCTTTATTAATGAAGGTATTTACAGCTATAAATTTTCCTCTAATCACTCACAGCTTTTGCTGTATTCCATAATTTTTTGGTATGTTATGTCTTCATTTTCACTCATTCCAAAGTATCTTTCTAATTTATCTTGTGATTTCTTCTTTGGCTCATTGGTTGTTTAAGAGTTGGTTGTTTGGGCTTCCCTGGTGGCGCAGTGGTTGAGAGTCCACCTGCCGATGCAGGGGACACGGGTTCGTGCCCCGGTCCAGGAAGATCCCACATGCCACGGAGTGGCTGGGCCCATGAGCCATGCCGCTAACCCTGCGCGTCTGGAGCCTGTGCTCCACAACGGGAGAGGCCACAACAGTGAGAGGCCCACGTACCGCAAAAAAAAAAAAAAAAGAGTTGGTTGTTTAATTTCCACATATTCCAATATTGTGAAATTCCAGATTTCCTTCTGTTATTGACTTCTAATTTCATTCCACTGTAGTGAGGGTGGATAGTTTGTATGATTTCAATCATTTTAAGTTTATTGACAATTGTTTATATCCTAATTATGATGTATCCTGGAGAATGTTCCATGTACACTTGGGATGTTGTTAGGTAGAGTGTTATATAGATGTGTTAGGTCCAGTTGGTTTATAGTGTTGTTCAAGTCTTCTATTTCCTTGTGTATCTTTTGTCTAGTTATTCTATCCAATATTGAAAATAAGGTGTTGATGTCTCCAACTATTATTGTTGAATTCTTTATTTCTCCCTTCAAGTCTGTCAGTTTTTGCTTCATAAGTTTTGTTATTAGACATATATAAGTTTATAGCTGTTATATCTCCTTGATGAATTGAACCTCTTTTATCACTATATAATGTCATTCCTTGTCTTGTAAAAACTTTTTGTCTTAAAGTCTATTTTGTCTGATACCAGTTTAGCCACTCCAGCTCTCTGATTACTATTTGCATGGAATACTTTTTTACACACTTTTACTTTGTACTTCTTTGTGTCTTTGTATCTAAAGAATCTCTTGTAGACAGCATATAGTTGGACTACCTTTTTTTCCTATTTATTCTGCTAATCAATGCCTTTTAATTGAAGAGTTTAATCTATTTACCTGTTTAAGTATTTAGTGATAAGGAAGGAATTGTTTCTGCCATTTTCCTATTTGTTTTCTATATGTCCTTTTTTATTGCTCTCAATTCCTGCATTATTGTCTTCTTTTGTGTTAGATACATATCTTCTAGTATACCATTTTGATTCCCTTATTACTTACCACATTTTTTTTGTTATTTCTTAGGGGTTAACAGTTAACAATTACATTTAACATCTTAACTTATAACAATCTAGTATGAATTAATACTAATTTAGTTTCAATAGTATACAAAACTTTGCCCCTATATAGCTCTTCCCCCTACTGCTTATGTTGTTATGGTCACAAACTGCAACTTTATATACTGTATGTCCATCAACATAGATTTATAGTGACTGTTTTACATAGCTGTCTTTTAAATCATATAGATAAAAAGAACTGCAAACACCCCCCAAATTAATATTGACTTTTTAATTTGCCTATGTAGTTCCTTTTACTGGCATTCTTTATTGTTTTGTGTGGAGTCAAGACTGTCTAGTATCCTTTTATTTCAGCCTGAAGGACTCCTTGCAGCATTTCTTGTAGGACAAGTCTACTAGCACTGAACTCTGTTTTTGTTTATCTGGGAATGTCTTAATTTCTCCATTTATTTTGAAGGACAGGGTTGCTGGGCATAGAATCCTAAGCTGACAGTTTTGTTTTGTTTTGTTTTTTTGAACTTTGACTATGTTACCCCACTGCCTTACATGGTTTCTGATGAGAAAGCAGCTCTTAATCTTTTTCAGGATCACTTATATGTGATGAGTTGCTTCTCTCTTGCTGCTTTCAGGCATCTCCTAATCTTTGGCTTTCAAAAGCTTGATTATAATGTGTCTCATTGTGGATGTCTTTTGAGTATGTCATACTTGGGGTACATTGAGCTTCCTGGATGTGTAGATCCATATCTTTCATCAAATTTGGGATCTTTTCAGCCATTATTTCTTTAAATGGTCTTTTTGCCCCTTTTGCTCTCTCTCCTCTTTTTCTGGGACTCCATTATGCACAGCTAAGTATGTTTAACAGTGTCCCACAGGTCTCTTAGGCTCTGTTCACTTTCCTTCATTCTTTTATTTTTTACGTAAATCAAGTTTGCTGATTCCTTCTTCTGCCTGTTCATATCTGCTGCTGAACCTCTACAGAAAACTTTAAATTTCAGTTATACTTTTCAACTCTAGAATTTCTATTTAGTTCTTTTTTATTATTTCTACCTCTTTACTGACATTCTCTAATGGTGAGACATAATTTTCATGGTTTCCTTTAGTTTTTTATACATGGTTTCCTTTACCTCTTTGAGCGTATTTTAAGTAGTTGATTTAAAGTTTTTGTCTAGAAAGTCCAAAGTCTGGGCTTCTTCAAGGACAGTTTTTATTCATTTTCTTCTTTTCTCTGTGTAGGGCATATTTTGCTTCTTTGCATGTCTTATAATTTTTTTGTTGAAAACTGGAAATTTTAAATATTATAATCTAGCAACTCCAGAAATCAGATTTCCCCTCCTCTCCAGAGATTACTGTTGCTGCTTACAGCTGTGACTTTTCTGAACTGATTTTGTAAAGTTTGTATTCTGTCATGAGTGACCAGTGAAGTGTCTGCTCCTTTAGCTTAATGGTTAGTCAGTGATTTGACAGAGATTACCCTAAACACCTGAAACCAAAAACAAAACAAAAAGCAAGTCTTTGCAGATAGGTTGTGTGTGTGTATTGGGGCATACCTTCAACATTCAGTCAGGCAGTTTACAACTCTGCCTTAGCTTTCACTTTCTGTTTGTGCAGAACCTGAAAGTCAGACACACATGAGAGCTTAGGGTCTTCTCAAATCTTTTCTGAGCAGGTGCCCAACTTTGGGCACGTGTGGAGCCTCTGAGATTCCCAGGAATATGTGGAAGCTTTTAAAAGCGTTTATTTCCCAAAGTTTCTCATTCCCCAGCCTTTCCTCCCAAGCTTTCTAGTTTGTCTCTTGTTTGTCCTAGTTGTTATCCCTTGATCCTGGCAGCACTGGCTAATACATTTGCCTTTAAATATTTTCAACAATGCCCCCACAGTGTAGCTGTGTCAGTGCTGGGAGAGTTTCGAATTAACCAAAATATAGGCAAGCCCTTTGAGCTGGTTCTTCAGAGAGTAACCAGATGGGTCAAAGTAAACAACCATAATTCTTTGAGAAAAAGGTCCATTCTGCTTCCTTTGATAGTAGGAATTATACCCAGAAGGCAGACTGTTGTCTTCAAGGCTGCCACTGACCTAGGGAGTGGAGGATGGGGTCAGTGTTAAGTTAAAACACCACAAAGCTCTCTTACAGAAATTCAGCTATTTTTTTAAACTGATTAAGCATTCTCCAGGTTGCAATAAACTTTGATTAGCTTTCAGAGTTTCAATAAAATTCATTCACTGCTTGTTGAGTTCCCTACACTGCCAGTTTTGTTCCACCTTGGGTAAGTCTTCTTAATAAGGATTAGTATATCTGTGGTAGGGGAGTAAGAAGGGGTACAGGGACAATGCTAAGTTCACATTATTCAGGAGGCATTCCTTGATTAATCCCAACTGGAACCATATTTTTACTCTTGGCACTTATTTAATATTAGATTAATACTTATTGATCTGTCCCATTTAAATATTAAGTTCACTTATTTTTATTTTTTATTTTTTTTAAATTTATTTAATTTATTATTTTTGGCGGCCTTTGGTCTTCGTTGCTGTACGCGGGCTTTCTCTAGTTGTGGTGAGCGGGGGCTACTCTTCGTTGCGGTGCATGGGCTTATCATTGCAGTGGCTTCTCTTGTTGAAGAGCACGGGCTCTAGTAGTTGTGGCACACAGGCTTCAGTAGTTGTGGCTCACGGGCTCTAAAGCACAGGCTCAGTAGTTGTGGTACACGGGCTTAGTTGCTCCACGGCATGTGGGATCTTCCCAGACCAGGGTTCAAATCTCTGTTCCCTGCATTGGCAGGCAGATTCTTAACCACTGAGCCACCAGGGAAGACCCTAAGTTCAATTATGATTCTACATTTTGTTTTTTCAAAATATAAAGTTGATAAAAGGAGCTATAAAAAAAGAAAGCTGCTGTATGGCTTCCCTGGTGGCGCAGTGGTTGAGAGTCCACCTGCCGATGCAGGGGACATGGGTTCATGCCCCGGTCCAGGAAGAACCCACATGCCGCGGAGCGGCTAGGCCCATGAGCCATGGCCGCTGAGCCTGCGCATCCGGAGCCTGTGCTCCGCAACGGGAGCGGCCACAACGGTGGGAGGCCCGCGTACTGCAAAAAATAAATAAATAAATAAAATAAAGCTGCTAACATTAAAAAAAATTAAATTAGAGCCATGTTTTACTTATTTTGAATTCCCTTCCCATGCCTCCAATCCTACTAGCAACTACAGTTCTCAGGACTGAATGAATGCTTTAAATAAATGACTTAAACGAAAAACAAAATTAAAACAGGTGGCTTAAGTATTTTAGTACTCTTTAATTATCAACTATTATCACCAATCAGATCAGCATTCTCCTTTTTATAAAGTATTTCTAGCATAATTTCTATTCAAAAGCATAGATAAGTTTACAATTTCAGAAGCAAAATACAAATGTCAATGAACACTGCAAATTTAGTCTCTAGTATGCAAAAAGAGAAAGGGGACTATTAATGACTCCAAGTATCTTAGGAACAGAAAAAAGGAAACAAAATCACTTGCCTGGGTTTCCTTCAAAACAAACTTATTTTCCATATATTTCAAACTTACTCATTGTTTAATTCTAAAGCTTGATAGGCTGCTTTGATTCGAGCTGGAGGATTTCTTTCCCTCCATGCCTTCTGCATAACTGTAGGAAAAACATTTCAAAAAGTAGATGATATGGTAAACATAAAGTATCTCATGCAAAACGTATGAAGAATGAGTTAGAAGAGTAAACAAAGATTTAAATAACATGTTCTTAAACATAAGAAATAAGAAATTGGGGTGATGGCTCACATTAACCTCATGAGAAATTTACATTAAATTTGGAAGCTTCACATAAAGTAGAAATTAAAATATTATTTCTCTGATTTATATGAATAATAACATAGATGGTACTTAATCAAGTTAATTACATCATTATACATGAACATTTATATATCTAAATGCATATTAAAATTGATATCAGATTATAATCTATGAAATATTCTAGTTCCTTTATCCTCTTGAAAAGGTTCTATGGAACTGTTAAAAATACACAAAAAAACTTTAAAAACACAGTATTTTTTTAATCAATGATTCAATCCATGAAGAATGTCTGAATTTGCATTTTGTATAAAAAGGGGGGTAAAAAGGAATTAACTTAGACTATTGTATATTTATGGAAAATGTCAGTCTCTACTAAGAGTCAAGAAAAGCCTGAATTAGGATATCTCTGGAATAACAATACTAGTTTTGTTGTCATTTACTGCACTAAAATTAAAATTTCACACTAAGCAGTTTCTTAAAAATTAAACAAACAGGGACTTCCCTAGTGGTCCAGTGGTTAAGAATCCACCTTCCAATGCAGTGGATGCAGGTTTGACCCCTGGTCAGGGAAATAAGATCCCACATGCCGCAGGGCAACTAAGCCCATGCGCCGCAACTACTGAGCCCACGCGTTCTGGAGCCCACATGCTAAAACTAGAGAACCTGCACACTCTGGAACCTGAGCACCACAACTAGAGAGAAGCCTGTGTGCCGCAACAAAGATCCCATGTGCCGCAACTAAGACCCGACCTGACGCAGCCAAATAAATAAATAAATAAAAATTTTTTTAAAAACTAAACAAACAAAGTAGATCCATGAAACTATCTGGCCTATTTCAAGTTTGATAAGAAAAACAGAGAATCTATGAATGTTGCTTTTGGAACAAAACCTACAACTGTCCAGAAAGAATAATGTGGAAAACGTTTGAGTTTTCCTTTGGAAACAAAATATTAGTCTTGGCTTAGAAAAGGAGACAATATATTCTACTTGGGTAACAAAAATACATTTCTCACATCAAACATGTCACCAGCTAGCTGACAGCTAATGCTTCCTGAACTTGACAAATTGATGCAAGTCAGCACCCATTTGATAATAACCAGGTAAAGAATAACATTTTGCTTAAACATTAAAATATTACATAAAAATCAAGTATAATATTTGACTTGCCATTTTTGATGATGAGGCTCTCTTCTATAAGTTACATGATATTTTCAGGTTAAATTTTGACACTGAATCTTTATTAACAGTTTAAATGGTTATTTGGTACTCTAGCATATTAAGTATATAGAGTAATTTATTTAACCAGTTCTCTTTTGATGGATAATTAATTTTTTGCTAATATAGAAATATTGTGATAACCATCTTTCAACATCTATCTTTGCAAACCTGACCAAAGAATAGTTGGTTTTTATTTATCTATCTATCTATCTATCTATTTATTTATTTATTTAGCAGGATGTGGGCCTCTCACTGTTGTGGCCTCTCCCGTTGCGGAGCACAGGCTCCGGACGCGCAGGCTCAGAGGCCATGGCTCACAGGCCCAGCCGCTCCGCGGCATGTGGGATCCTCCCGGACCGGGGCACAAACCCGTGTCCCCTGCATCGGGAAGTGGACTCTCAACCACTGCACCACCAGGGAAGCCCTGTATGCATCTTTTAAAAGATTTTGGATATATATTTCCAAACTCCTCTCAATGAGACTGTATTAATTTACATTTTTTCAGGCAGTGCAGGAGACTGACTATTTCCCCACTCCCTTAACAACACTGAGTAGTATCAATCTTTGCTAATTTAAAACATGAAAACATCTCATTTGCATTTGCATTTCTTCTATTTCTAGTAAGGTCATCTAATCCACCATTAAGCATTTTTTCTTATTCTCATGTTTTCAAATGATCTATCCAGCCTTATTATTCCTCACAACCAATGCATTTCTAAGCCAATGAGGAAAGGGGAAATAAAGTAGAGGAAGGAATACACTTCCTTCTAAAACAAGGTTTAGGAATAATTTAAAGCAATATGCTCATTTAGTATTCAACTGTCCTCTTTAAGAATACTCAATATGCTTAAAAAATAACACAAGCAGTTTAACAATTCAATCAAAAATTTATCTATTTTTCAAGTTAAATACTATTCTAATATGCTAACCAGCAGAAGAGACTACCATTCAACCCAAGACCATGTGTCACAAATATAAATGCCTTGAGACCAGGCAGAAAACATAAATGAGTGAACTAAAAGCACATGCACTGTGTAAGAGACTCACAGCTCAGGTCTAACTAATCACTGCCAAGTGGAAATGCAGGTCCGTATTTCCCAACTTAAAATTGTAAATCTGGAGTTTAATGTTAAATCTCCTGATTTTTTTAAATGTTGAAAAAAAAAACCAAAAACAATGAAAGCAAATTAACCAAAAAAACACTGCTGGCTGGCCCTGAGAATATGTTTGTTCACTGTCCTAAATAAACAAATCAATAGAATAAGAACAAAAATCTACTAACTTAGGGCTTCCCTGGTGGTTCAGTGGTTAAGAATCCGCCTGCCAATGCAGGGGACAGGGGTTCGAGACCTGCTCCGGGAAGATCTCACATGCCGTGAGGCCTGTGCACCACAACTACTGAGCCTGTGCTCTAGAGCCTGCGAGCCACAACTACTGAAGCCCGAGTGCCTAGAGCCTGTGCTCCGCAACAAGAGAAGCCACCGCAATGAGAAGCCCACGCACCACAATGAAGAGTAGCCCCAGCTTTCCTCAACTAGAGAAAAACCTGCACGCAGCAATGAAGACCCAATGCAGCCAAAAATAAAGAAAATAAAATAAATACATTTATTTAAAAAAAAAATCTATTAATTTAGTAATTACTGATGACAAGAGTCAAGAGAAATTTGTCACATCACACATATAGGCATGTTTGTCTTTTTTTTAATATAAAACTATAGACATAAATCATTATCTTTATGTGAATATCTTAAAAGATCAATATGGAACCAACAGTCCATTTCTGGATTATCATTTGTGGATAAGGTTTAGTTCAGTCTTTAACTGGGATTATGCATACCTCTAGAAGTACTACATGAAACTTTGCAAGGACCAAAATGGGACACACCGTTTTAAGAGAATCAATTTCTAAAGCTTCAACTATATATGACTCTTTCCTATAACTGATCTACCTGAAGAATGTTCCTCTGATTGGTCTGTCATGCTGGTTTTCCCTTCCTAGCCAACATATGCTCCCCGACTCAGTGCGCCCCCTAAAGATATATTACCTTTTCCTACTTTACAAAAGAAAAGCTTACTTTTCACCCATCCTGAACCTTTCCAAGGTACGTTGCCCTAGAGTGTAAAGATCTCCATGTGCCTCAAGGGACAATTCAAAGTTTGGGTTTGGGAGGAACCATTTTTAATCAAGGAACCTATAATAGGGATTTGTGCCATTTACTTATTTAACAGTGAAGCTCAGCATTAGAAATAGAGTGTTCTGGCCCCTGGAATTTCTGACTTCAAGTATATTGTAGAGTGGGGAGGGAGTGATAATTTTTATCAGTTCCATTTATCAGCACCCTTTCTCCCCTTACTATCAAAGCATACATTGCTCCTAAGGGAAGGTACCCTCATAATAAGGCAAATAAAGCATTAGTAAGGGATAATAAAGGCAGTGGAATCTTGTTTCGGCCAAGTGATAAGCTCACGGCAAGGCTTTAAGACTTATCTATCTTTCTATCTTAGAATCTGAATTCAGAAGAGAGATGGCTGTCATAGGGATGCATGTTAACATGTTTATTTGAATTAAAAAATGAAGTCAGACTTCTCTGTCAGAAAGTAAGTCTGATTTGATTTAGTTGACAGGAATGACAATGAGAACTCACCCAGCCAATTAAGTTATATGGAGGACTCTTTCCAAAGTCGGAAGAGCCAAATATGTAGCTCGAAGGATTTGACAAAAATATAGAGTACATGATTCCATTTAGAACTTTATGATCAAAAGAAACTTAAATTTAAAAAAAATTATACAAAAACTGTTTATTGTGGAAAAGTATTTAAGTGTGATTAAAAAACTCTCAAATATAAAATAATTATATTATAATAAAATCATACAGAGGTGTGGAATGGATATGAGTTCAACAAGAAAAAGTACTTATATAAAATTTACTACTGTTAGAGTATTTGTTCATGTACTTTTCAATGGATCATGGTGGATATCAAGTCATTAGATTCCTTGAAATACATTCAAATATAAAGTATTTTAGTTTTATTTTTAAATGTCTATATTTGTAATATGTTAAAAATTACATTCTTTGCAATTATTTAACCTTATGATGTCAAGTTAAAAATGTGTGAAGGGATACATAGTTTTTCAAAATTCTTTTAGGAGCTATGTGAACAAAAATGTTTTAAGACCACAGCTTTAGTGGATAGCCATGGTTACTACTTGAAAAGCCTGCCAAGGTTTGCAATTCTGCCCATGAGAGGGAGGTGAAGCCTTAATATCCACAGTCACCTCAGTCCTCATAGTTAACATACAATACTGATTTTCCACTGCTGTTATTTCCTTAACATTATACTTTTGCCATTAATGTAAACATTAAGCACATAAACATACAGCAATTCCTTTTTCTCTGATTTGCAATTAAACCATTTTACGTAACCATACCAAAGATCCTTGGGTTTCCTTCTACTACAGATGCTGAATATATTTAATACAGCAGAGATATAGCACAATGAACTCACTTCAATGTTGGAAAACTGGCTGTTTTTCAGACCCTAACTGTTGGTGATTTTCTTCTGCCTATCAATGTGATGAGTAGAAGCAGTAATAGTATAGTGGTTAAGAGCTAAACTTGAGCTTGAAACCCAGCTTTTTCATTTATTAGCTAGGTGATTTAGGAAATGTTACTTGTCTCCCCTTTGCCTCAGTTCCTTTATATTTAAAATGTGGCTGATAATAGTACCTATATCATGAAGTGATTGGGAAGATTAAATTAGTATCTTTATATAAATTGCTTAGAACAGTGCTTGGCGCATAATAAGTGTTATACAAGTGTTAGCTATTATTACTGAAATTGATTAAGACATCTGTGACACCAAGGCTATTCATTCATTCATACTTCCATCAAAGAATAAATATTAATATTTACAGTATATCAGGCAGTGTTCTAGATGATAAGGATTCAAAGATGACAAGTATAGTCCCTAATTTCCACAGTTTCACACATCATTAGGGAGGACAAACATTAAAACAACATGATAAACTAACAAATAAGTGTTTACAGTTGAATAAGTTAACTAAAATTATTATAAAGGTGAGGTTTTGACTAAGTACTGTAGAACTGCAGAGAAGATCAGGGAAGGCTTCCCAGAGAATGAGACTTAATTTTGAAGGATAAAAGTAGAAGCATAGATAAGGTGGGAGAAGGCAGTCAAAATAGTTGTGATAAAGATCCCTGTCTTTAAGCCAAACATTTAAGAGTTTCTATACTCACTTCTACAGAGAATATTAGAGAGAACTAAACACAGACATTTCTATGATCTTCCACCACTTTATATGCATCTCTGACTTATGACTGGAATAAAATATACCCCATTTTTCTCTACATGCTGTGCCCCAATGTTTAACTTTGCCTTATTTTTTTTTTTAATGTGTAATTATAGGTGTTAACTTCCCCAACCAAAACTGGGTACACTGTTCTCTGTATAAGCAATTGCTGTATTCGATCTGAAAGGTTTTCTAAGTAATAAAAGAAGCAATTTAATTAATTTTTGTAAAATACTTTAAATTCTATAAAGAATTTAAATTTCATCTTATAAAAGACAAAAAAGTACGATAACCTAGTTTACAATCATAATTAGTTTCAATTTAATCTGGGTTTCTTATCAATGATGCAAACTCCAAGCCAAGTAACTTCGTATAATAACTCTAAAAAACTTTAAAAATAATTTTTATGACTACTGTTTACCCCAAGAACAGATTATGACACATACCTGTGTCTGAAGGACGTAAAAAGTCCGTGTCACAGGTGAAAAAGGTCTGATGGTCCTGAGCTGACAAATTCATGTCATAGTATGTAAGTGGCTCTTTACCAGTCACCCAAGTGTATCTTTACCAAAACACAATAAAATATGTAAATTGAACATGAGAGAGCATCTGTCTGCTACAACAGATACTTTTTAAAATTCAAAAATATACTGCTACAAATCTTATTTCAGGATGTTTCAAAAGCTTATTATAATCAATAAAGCAAAAGAGATAGCCTATCCAAACTACTTACAGTACAATAATAAAACATCAAAAATCAAAACAGAAAAGGTAGATTATTCAACAAACAGTGCTTCAAAATTGAATTTGAAGATAAAACAATTTGACTTAAATATACACTTTTTTAAGTATACTTAAATAAATTCTCAGTGAATTAGAATTAAGTATTAAAAGTAAAACTACAAAGAAACTAGAAAAAAACAAGTGATTATTTTACTAGATGTCAAGATGATAAAGGGTTTTCAAAGCATAAAAGCAAAAAAAAACTTCTTTCAGATTTTACTAAACTAGAAATTTTACCTTTCATTTCCCCCTAAAACCCTCAATAATTAATAGCAGGTAACAAACTGTCTAATAAATACATTTTAAAATATCCAATCACATTGGTAATTAACAAATAGCAAATTAAAATAACTAATTTTGACTATTCAACTATAAAATTGGCAAATATATATTGTCAAGGGTGAGGTAGGACTCACACATATTGCTGTTATAAATATAAATTGGTATTTACATTTCTTTTTCCAGAAATCAATTAGATAATATCTATCAAGAGCCTTAAAAATAACACCTAGTTAAATGATGGATGGGTATATGGAATTCCATTACACCACTCTCTCTACTTTTATTTTTGAAATTTTCCACCATTAAAAGAAAAACTTAAAGGGGGAAAAAAAACTGTTCACACCTTTTGATTCAGTAATTCCAGTGCTACAAATCAACCCTAAGGAAATAATCATATATGTGGCTAAAGATTTATATATAAAGCTATCCCTCTAGAGTAAATGTTAACAGTGAAATATAACCTGTGACCTGGATAGGGGAGCAGTAGGTAAGTTATGTATGGTACCTCCATATAATAGAATACAGTACAACTATTAAAAATCATGTTTTTGAAGAAATTCATGTTTTGAAGAAATTCTGTGGTAAATTCACACATAATGAATTTTATATATTATGATGTTCAAGTTTTGTTTCTATATATGCGTATAGAAGAGAGACTGGATGGAAATACTAATAGCAGTTATCACTTAGTGGTAGAAAAAGGTGATTTTTTACTTTCTTTCTCATACATCTTTTTATTTTCCAACTTTCAACAATGAATATGTATATATTTTATAATCAGAAAAAGCATTTTAACAGCACATTGTGGGCTTCCCTGGTGGTGCAGTGGTTGAGAGTCCGCCTGCCGATGCAGAGGACACGGGTTCGTGCCCCGGTCCAGGAAGATCCCACATGCCGCGGAGTGGCTGGGCCCGTGAGCCATGGCCGCTGAGCCTGCGCGTCCGGAGCCTGTGCTCCGCAACGGGAGAGGCCACAACGGTGAGAGGCCCGCGTACCGCAAAAAAAATAAAAATAAAAATAAAAGCACATTGTGTTATTTATATACATGATCAAAGATTTTAAGTTATTTAATTGTATAAGTTGCCTTTAAAGTTTCTATTTAAAGTTTTTAGCTATTTTAGGAGAAATTATCATGAAGAAAAAGGAAAAAGCAAATCCTTGTTCATTTAGCAAAGTTTGGTATACTTTCTAAAATCATTAAAAAAAAATGAACGATCTACATTAATCCCAAAATGATTTAAAGCAGCTAAAAAACACATGCACAGTATCAATAACTTAAATTAGCAGTAAATTTTAAAAGACTCAGTAAAGTAAAACAAGGATTGGGCCATAAAATGGCTCATACCAAAGAGTTCTATACACTTGCTAAAGGCTGGCTACGATATGATTCCAAGCTTCCTAGAACCACACAATGATTACCAGTGCAATTTAGACTTTTACATTAAGACAAACTAATCATTCAAAAAAGAAGCATTAAGAGTTCGTTATACTAAGATAAGAAATTTCTGTTTAAGATTTTCATGAAGTAGATACTATAAGATAACAAGAATAGCCTAAAAACTTTTTAATAAACACAGTGAGAAGTTCAAGGACCTGTTTCTTGCAGAATCCCTTAATATAGGCTAATGGCATCTATCATAAAAGCCTAGCTTTGGCTTCCCAGGATGTGACTGTCCTACACTATCAAGTACTTACGCACAGGGATTACTGCTAAATTATTTTGTATCCCCATCATTTTGCATAGTGCCAATACATAGTAGACATAAACTGTTTCTTGTTCAATGAATTAAATAACATGCCCCAGTCTACCTCCAGGTAAAACACAGCCCTTTCCAAAACAAAAGTAAAGTATCTCTGGTCATAAGTTTCAAGAGTCGTTTTCTCATTTAAAATAAAACCCAGAAGAGAAATGGACACAATAGTGTAGCTAGGGAATGGCAATACGAAATACAATATAAAAGTATTATGCTCTGTACTGTTGCACAAATGAAATTTATATTCACATTCAGACTGATATTTTCTAGTGAATCGTCAAATAAAGTTTGCAATTGAGCACATGTGCACAGGAATATGCTGACATTTGCAATTTTTTCTCAATCTCATGAATTCTTTGAAAAGGCTTTCTGCCATAAACCAAGAGCCAAATGTATACTTATATCATAAACATATGGTTTGAAGCAATGTTTCTCATGATTATAAAAGTAAACATAGTCAAGATGCTGCCAATTAAACCTTGGGCTAATCATTTTACCTTATATCAGTATCTCCAACCAGAAGAGCTGTGATATATTTGTAAAAATAAATTTTTCCATAATACTTTTATTCTAAAACCAATGCCATAATTATACTGAAAGCAAAATGTAATACCTCCTATATTCTGCTCCTCTGAAAAGATTTAGAGGATTTCTCCATACCTTGCATTCTAAAAAACAAAGAGAAAAAGGGGGAAAATAAGACAGTTTAATCAAATGTAGTTAAATCTTAATTTGGTCAACATGTATAGTCACTGTATGCTAAGTACAGTGCTAGCCACATATAGCACAAAGATGAATAAGGCATGGACCACCCCTGCTGTCATGCAGTGTACAACCAAATCTAGTCATTCCCTTATTTCTGTCTCCATAGCATTTGGTTCACAATTCAAGTACCACACTTACCATATTACAATGTGACTATCTAGTTTTCAGTTTCTCCTTTAAAATATGGGCTTTTAAAACTTTGCTCAGGGGCTTCCCTGGTGGTGCAGTGGTTGAGAGTCTGCATGCCGATGCAGGGGACACGGGTTCGTGCCCCGGTCCGAGAAGATCCCACATGCCGCGGAGCGGCTGGGCCCGTGAGCCATGGCCACTGAGCCTGCGCGTCCGGAGCCTGTGCTCAAAAAAACTTTGCTCATTTTGTACTTCTGGAACCACAGCATTTGGAACTAACTTAACTGAATTAAGTGTAGCATGAGAATTAGTTATGTAAACTATCACCTACACTGTGTGATAAGTGCTATGATAGAGATATATTTTGTTCCAAGAGAAAAAAAGGAAGTGATTAAGTTTGCTCTGGAGAAATTAGGGGAGACTTTAGAAAGGCTGTGACATTTAAACTTGAACCACTGTAAAAATGAGTAGAAGGTTGCCAGATGAAGAACATTCTAAGCAGAGAAGTATGAGAAAACCACACAGCATACTTAGGTTAGAGTACATGGTAGAAGGTGAGAGGGAGAGCTGTAAATGAGGCTAGAAAATAGACTGGGGGAAATTGATGAAGGGGCTTACATACCATGTAAAGAGTTTAGACATTATCCTTAGTCAATCAGAAGCCATCAAAGGTTTATAAACAGAAAAATAACAAATATCAGGACTTTGGTTAGATCAGCAGTTCTCAAAGTATCATTCATGGAACTGCAAAGTAACAACTCGTTTCATAATAAATGCTAAGACATTGTTTGCCTTTTTAACTTGTTGACTTGAACCCAACCCTGAGAGTAAGGGCGTCCTTAAATTTTGTGCCCCAAGCACCTGACTTAACCTCACGCTAGTCCCAGTCCTGCAAAGTTGGGCTAATGGTACAAATCAAAGGTTGGTAAAACTGCTGGTACTTTAAAGTAGTGGTCATTGGATTCCTCACCCCCACCGCAGTAAACAAGGCAACCAAATATGATGGTTGTCTCCAGTATAAGCAATTGTTTTTTGAGCTGGACTGACCTTTTTTTTTTTTTCATGGAATCTCACTTTTACTTGAAAGAGTCACTAACAGACAAATTTATGATTATTCAGACAGATACCTGGCAAACATTTTCTCAAAGTTGAACAAAGTGAGTCTGTCAAATTCAAGGAAGAAAAAGTAGTATTTGCTGCCAATGATAAAACTTGAGCTTTCAAGTACATATTAGAATTTTGAAAAACTTGTATCAGTTTCCATGAGCTTGACAATTTCTCAACTTAAAGGCTTTCCTGTGAGATTAGTGGTGATATTAACAAACGTCATTTTAAAAAATTATACAATATTTCAATATTTGGAAGACACGTATAACTCAGGGAACGAGTATTTTCCAAATGGCCAATGCATGATTTATAAAATTATTCATAAGTGAAAGACCCATTCAAAATGGGACACCAAGGGATTTTAATGTACAGAACATGACAAGTTAACTGATACAGCTTCAGATTCCACACTGCAACTAAACTTTAAGAAAGTACCTCAGTAAATTTTGGTGTTGTATTGAAAATGAATATCCACAACCTTCTGAAAAGGTTATTAAAATACTTTTCCCTTTTCCAACTACATATCTGTGTGAGAACAGATTTTCTTCATAGATGTCAAGCAAAACAACATTTCACAACAATGCAGAAGCAGATATGAGAATAAGCAATTTTTTATTAAGCTAGATATTAAAGAGATTTAAATAAATGTAAAGAAATGGCAGTCTTCTGATTAAAATTTTCTCGGTTTGGAAAATATAATTATTTTTCATGATATGTGTATTAGCTGAGGCTGCCATAACTAAATACCATAGAGTGGGTGACTTAAACAACAGAAATTTATTTTCTCACAGTTCTGAAGTCTGGAAGTCTGAAATCAGGGTGCCAACATGGTTAGGTTCTGGTAAGAGCTCTCTTCCTGGCTTACAGATGGCTGCCTTCTTCCTGTGTCCTCACATGTCTCCTCCCATAGTGGAGAGAGAAATTAATCTCTCTTCTTCTCCTAAGGCTACCAATCCTATCACATTAGAACCCCACCCTTACAACCTCATTTAACCTTAATTGTCTCCTAAAAGTCCTGCCTCCAAATATAGTTACATTAGAGGTTACAGCTTCAACACATGAATTTGAGGTGGGGGAGAGACACAGTTCAGTTCATAGAACTATGTTAACATGCAATGGGTTTCCTGTTATTTTAAAAATAACAAATAAATATTTTTTAATTTGTTTTAATTTCTAATATGGTAAATATTGGGGATATAATCAATATATAAACAAAAGCTCTTTGAGGTCCTCAATAATTTTTAGGAGTATAAACAATTCCTGAATCTAAAAAATTTGAGAACCACTTTTTTACATAGTAAGGGGAGAGAATGTACTAAAAGGAGAAGTATCATAGGCAGGGAAACCAGTTAGGATATACAGCAATAGTCCAGGAAAGAGATATCTAAGGCCTACATATGGGACACTGAATGTTGAAAAAGAGGTAAAACAGAGTCAAGGTAATTTTTGAGGGGAATCAATAGCATACGATGAGGGTCAATAGTCTGGAGAAGGAAGGGGAAATAAAAGAGATATAATCTAAAACAACTCAAAGGTTTCTATTTTGGAAATTAATAGATTTTAGGATTATGGAAGGTACCTATTAAAAGAAGATAATTAGCAGTTTCACTTTGGACAGAATGAGTTTAGGGTTGCTTAGGGCCTTCAAAGGTGGAGATTTCTAGCAAAGAGTTAGAAATGTGGGTCTAGAACATAAAAGAGAGCTTGGGGACAGAAAGTTAACATTGGTTCTCCCAATATATATGTCTGTGGATGATAATACTATAGAAGGAGATGCAGCTACCCAGGGAGAGAAAGTGGAACCAAAGGAGAACTGTGACTCACTTCTGAGGTCAATTCATGCATCTCTTCTGTGAAACATTTTGTGGCCTTCCTTCCAAGAATAACTGACCATTCCCTCTTTTCATCACCATAGTATCTTCCATACACTATATAAAAGTATCTTTTGTATCTTTTGCCATCACTTATTTATATGTCTGTATCCTATACTAAGCTGGAATGTTCTTAAGGTTATCTTCACTTTCATTATGCAATGGTATACTCAATCTCACAATAGGGAATAAGACTGTATAATGCATTATTGTTATAATTATTTACATACTGGACTCTGAGCTTCTTGGGGACACATCTATGTCATATTCATCTTTTTTTTTTAAGATTATTTGTTTATTGATTTATTTATTTAATTTTTGGCTGCATGGGGTCTTAGTTGCAGCACGCAGGATCTTCGTTGTGGTGTGCGGGCTTCTCCCTAGTTGCAGCATGCGGGTTTTCTCTTTAGTTGTGGTGCACAGGCTCCAGGGCACACGGGCTCTGTAGTTGTGGCATGCGGGTTCCAGAGCGTGTGAGCTCTGTAGTTTGCAGCATACAGGCTCTAGTTGATGCGCGCAAGCTCAGTAGTTGTGGCACGCAGTCTTCGTTGCCCCGTAGCATGTAGGATCTTAGTTCCCTGACCAGGGATCGAACCCGTGTCCCCTGCATTGTACGGTGGATTCTTTACCACTGGACCTCTAGGGAAGTCCCTCATATTCATCTTAATATGCCTTATTCTTAAGAGTTCCGTAATTATTTCATGAAAGGGGAGAAAGGAGTAGGGCAGAGAAAATTACCATTATTCCTTCCTGTACTCCTGAATGGCTGCCAACCTCATCCCTACTAATCCTGGTCAACATCCACTCAAGCTTTTTTTTTAAATTTATTTACTTATTTATGGCTGCATTGGGTCTTCGTTGCTTCACATGGGCTTTCTCTAGTTGTGGTGAGTGGAGGCTATTCTTCGTTGCGGTGTGTGGGCTTCTCATTGTGGTGGCTTCTCTAGCTGCAGAGCATGGGCTCTAGGTGCGCAGGCTTCAGTAGTTGTGGTGCGAGGGCTCAGTAGTTGTGGCTTCCAGGCTCTAGAGCACAGGCTCAGTAGTTGTGGTTCACAGGCTTTGTTGCTCCACGGCATGTGGGATCTTCCCGAACCAGGGCTCAAACCCACGTTCCCTGCATTGGCAGGCAGGTTCTTAACCACTACGCCACGGGGGAAGTCCCCCACTCAAGCTTTAGGGCTCAGTTTAAACAGTTCTTTCTTACAGACTTGCCCTGATCACACCTAAAAAGTGCCAGCAACTGCACTCAGGTAGTATTTTTCTACTAAATTAATATAACTCTAGTGGTTAGGCTTACTGAACAAATGAGACATTATGACATTCTGCAGAATTAACTCATTTGTATGAGTTAACTGTATGATTATAACCTATACCAAATGAAAGAAACAATAATCCAAAAATGTGATTTCTATCTGGCTTCAAATATTTTACTTTCCTAATTGCATAATTACTAGATACATATAGAGGAATAGTCTACAGTTTATGTATGACAACAGATTATCCATACAAGAATAACAGATTTTGATGTCTTTGTAAATATACTAAGAAGAAAAACTATTTTTCCTAACTTTGCTCTCTTGGCAGAGATGGCTAATTGTCTTTGTTCTCTCCTTTATCAGTAATAAGATACCCTTATCACCTGTGCATATATACACTGAGAAAATGATTACAATTTCTAGCCTCCCTTACAGCTAGTTCTGTTTATATGACAAAGGTCTGACCAGTAGAAAGTAAGTTGAAATAGTATATGACGCTGCTCGGAAGTGTCCTTGGTTGCTGTGGGGTGGGGTGTGGGGAAAGCGTCTTCTCCTGGCTTATTCTCCTTCCTGTGACTAGACTGTGGCCATGATGGCTGAAGCCAGAGGAACTGTCTGGAACCATAAGGAAAAACTGCATTGGAGATGGTTGCAAACAAAATAGAAGTAGTCTAGGTCTCTGATAATCATTGCTCTCCATGTCAGCCATGGATTATCTATATTCAAAGGAAAGACAAACTGCTCTCTACTGTTATGAGTTTTCTATCTGCCACAGCCAAACACAATCTTAACAATACAGCTCTGAACACACATTAAGTCAGTAGTAGTCACCTGACAAATTCTGTCTGCTGGTTTCACTTTCTCTGCTGCTGGAAGGAGAACCTGGCTCTGAAATGCTGCCTTCTGTTCCTCCCATCAGTGGTCGCAAATGGCTTACAGATACTTGCTCAATAAAAGATGTGCCGTGCTTATGGAAGTACCACCATTCAAATATCTGTGACAAACAGAAAACATCTTTCACTTAAAATAGAATTAATCAGCAGATATATGACCTCAAATCAAAACATTCTCTCAAGATGTTCCTGTTTAATTCAGCATTTGAAACGTGCCCTCCTTCCAAAAAATAAGCCAAACACAAGATTCCCTGATAACACATGCCAAGCCAAGGTAAAATGCCTTTTTACAACTTTGTAATGAAATTCAGACAAGCTTAGGCAACACTAGAATACGTCTGTAAATAAAGCATTAAAAAACAGTAAGAAGTGTTTAAGCTATAAATAATGTAACTTTCATTATAATGTCATTTTAGTCTATCTGTAGCATAATTAAAAGAAAAACAATTTTGAAACAACTAGCATGGTGGATTAACCACTAGACTAGGGTTAGAATGCCCACATTTGACTCCCAATTCAGCCATATATTAGCTGTGTGTTTCGGGGAAGTTAACTTCTAACCTCTCAGAGCCTCAATGTCCTATCTAGTAAATATGGTTAACAAGAATTGTAAGTGCTTTTAAACAACAAAGTACTACTCCAGTATTTGGCAGTATTATTAATGTAGGTTAAGAGTCAAGTTGATTCCCATACTGAACCATTTAAAAATCAGGATATTCATTTCTTTCTGTTTCCATGGTTTATCATTGCTATAAGAAGAGGAATCAAAAGCAGCTCTCTGTGTTGAATGAGCAGAATGTTTCATATTCGGATACTCCAGCCTTTTCAACTCCCTTTGCTGGCTCCTTTGGGTCTGAGCTTAAACGACATGTCCTAGGGAACTTTTCCTGATTCCACAGAACAGAAAGCTATGTTATGCACTCCCACTGGCTCTTTTATTCTCCTTTCAGAGTAATCTTTACTTGTAATAATTAGTTAAACAACTGGCTTTGTTGCTATTCTTCAAGCTTCCAAGCACACTACCTCTTCACGTAGAAATAACACAAGCAGCACAACTAGCTTTCTCATTTCAGGTGGTAAAAGAAATTATAAATAAACTTTGCTCATAAAAATTCATCAAGATTTCAAGGGTAATGACACAGTTTAACCTTTAAAATGTTACTTGAATTCTTAAGTTTTGTAAATTTAAAATGTTGGCTTAAAAAAAAGTAACAACAAATTTTAAACACTTTTACATATTACATATGTAAGTTATATATTATATAAATGTAAGTTTTCTCCCTTCCTTATAAATGAGGAAATTAGGACTCAGAATTCATGTGACTTGCCCAAAGTTATCAGATAGTAAATGGCACAGTCAAGACTCAAAACTACATCTGCTGGTTCCAAGACCAATGCTCTTTCTACTACATCAGCTGTTTAAAGATAGTTTATCTTCTTTATTTAGATTTTTATATGCTATGACAAAATATGCTAAATTATGAGTAGGCTTTATAAATCAATAAATTTTGAGGCTTTTAATAACAGAGTTTTCACCCAGAATTCCTCAATAATTTTTTTAAGAGAAAAATTGCTTTCTCATCTGGTATTTCACTTCAACAAAATGGTCAAGTGTTCATCCTTATTTAAAAAAACAAAACAAAACAAAAAACCACTCCAATATAAATGCTATTATTTTTACATTTCTACTATAGTTATAGAGCACCACCTAGAGATGAGAAAAAAATACAGAAAAATTTCATTGGCCATGCATGCCATAATACTTCCTAAGATTTTTATCTGTAGCAGTATTTTTCCAAAGTTTATACTATGAAACACTAGTTCCCAGGGATGTTAATAAAGATTATAAAAATTTTTAAAATCTTTTTAAAATAAAAATGATAGCTTGGTTAAATAAAGCAAGGGAAAGCTGAATTAAACAGGTTTATTGTGGCACTTCTTAGAATAACGTGGCCAAAATTCATTAGTGTATGTCATGTGGTTGCAAGCTTTCACACACACTATCTCATTTAATCCTCATAACTATTAAGTTGATACTTTTTTTTTTTTTGGCTACACCGGGTGGCTAATGGGATCTTAATTCCCTGACCAGGGATACAACCCGGGCCTCAGCAGTGAAAGTGTGGAGTCCTTTGGGGCTTCCCTGGTGGCTCGGTGGTTGAGAATCCTCCTGCCAATGCAGGAGACACAGGTTCAAGCCCTGGTCCAGGAAGATCCCACACGCTGAGGAGCAATTGAGCCCGTGCACCACAACTACTTAGCCTGCGCTCTAGAACCTACGAGCCACAGCCACAAGCCCGTGTGCTGCCCTAGAGCCCGTGCTCCACAACAAGAGAAACCACTGAAATGAGAAGCCTGTGCACCGCAATGAAGAGTAGCCCCCACTTAGCACAACTAGAGAAAACCTGCACGCAGTAACGAAGACTCAATGCAGCCAAAAATTAATTAAATTTTTTTTTTTTTTGTTTTTTTCTTTGCGGTACGCGGGCCTCTCCCCGCTGCAGCCTCTCCCGCTTCAGAGCACAGGCTCCAGACACGCAGGCCCAGCAGCCACGGCCCACGGGCCCAGCCGCTCCGCGGCACGCGGGATCCTCCCGGACCGGGGCACGAACCCGCGTCCCCTGCATCGGCAGGCGGACTCTTAACCACTGCGCCAGCAGGGAAGCCCTAATTAATTAATTTTTTTAAAAATTAATTGAGTTGAGTCCCAAACCACTAGACCACCAAGGAATTTCCAAGTTGATACTATTATTATCTCCAGTGTACAGATGAGGAAATCGGAGCTTTAGAAAAGTTAATTCACTTTCTTGAAGTCATACAACTAAAGTGATGGTTAGCCTGTCTCATAAACTCTGCTCTTAAACACTCTAGAGAAGGTAACTGGCAGCCTATAAGCCTAATTCAAGACAGATAAATTTTTAGTCTGCCCAATGTTGCCAACATTAAAGTATTGGAAGATTTTTATAAAAACTTTATATCCAGGTTCTCTTGAAATCATCTGAAAAAATTGGAAGACCTGGTCCTGGTAATACTGGTCTGCAAGTCTACATGGCAACAATTAGCTTTAGCCTTTTCTAGAAGGAGCATGTACTGTCCAGATTACCCAGTCTTCAAAGTAAATAAAAATTTCAATTTTTACACTCTGCCAATTTTACTCATTTTTGTTACTAAGCCGAGCCTGCAAGCATTTACATCACAACCCACCTCCCACTACACCCCCCAACATACAATAAACAGTCTTTTATATACAAATGAATACTATCAATCTCTAAAAGTGGAGAGGAAGTTGCAGTGTTTTTTAAAATATTTTTTCACATTTTGAGAATGTGAAAAATTTTGAGAATGCTGATCTATAAGTATTTTTAATTATTATAATAACTATTTAAAGAGATTTGATTTTTAGATAAACACCAAAGGAAATGGAAGGAAGGAAATGGAAACTACTTACAAATATTAGTCCTGATATCAAAGAAGATGTCCCTGTAAGTGCCACATAGAATTTGGGCGTCAATGAATTTAAAAATACTGTCACTGCCAAAAAGAATAAAAAAATCAAAGTTAAAAAAAATAAGTACCCAAGTTACAAATATGCAGGTGTCTTTATGAGTGGAGGGACATAAGTAGTATTAATACCTAGTATGAGATTCATTTGAGAAAATTGTAATTTTTAAAAAGCTACTTTAAATTCTCATTGTATCACATCTTTAAAATGCCTTCACATATGTAAGGGTAGGATTTTACACTGCTGATTTGTTAAATAAGCAAATCAAAATGAGATCATTTAGCTTGCTGTTGAGAATAAAACCAGGAATATCATAATTTAGACAAGAACTTTTGCAATTCCATAAGGATAATATGAACAAATATACTGTTACAAAGGAGGATTAAAATTACTTCCTAATTATTTTGGTGAGATACAAACCAGTGTTTCAAATTAGAGGGAAGGAAACAGTGTGTGTATTTGGTATGTCAGCTACAGAGGCAAAATAACCCAAAAAGAATAGCAAACTAAGAGCTTCCTAAACCTGATTCACTGAAAACCTGGACCACATTCTTCACTTCAAATAATTGTCTCATAAATACTTTGGGTTTTAGAAAGAAATAAAAATCTGTAAAGTCACTGACTCTCATCTAAATGGTGTATCTAGTTAATATGTAAAAAAAAAATGATAAACTCAATGAATAACATTTCACTGAGCATACAAACCATTAGTAGTCACTTCATTAACCTGTAACAGAAACACCAAATTAGCTTTTCAAACAGTCTAGGAAGGCCAATTTATCTAGCTTATTTTAGTGTGTTAGTTGCATCTGAATTTACATACTATGTTCTTAAAAAGTCCAAAACATTTCAGTATATTATCTCACAATCTTTCATGTCATTTCACAGAATAGAAAAGGGGACATTTGCCTTCTCTTGTTACAGAAAAATAAAACACAGTACTGACAGTCATAAAGATCCCATAACAGAAATACTTCCATTCTAATCTGAGGTTGCCAATTTGTAATGACATGGTAAGAGGCCCTGGCTCCCATCCACTCTGTCCTGGCTACAGCTAAAGAATAATATTTGCAGAATCCAAGGGAATCATCACCTCTTATACGTCTTTGTAACTTCAGCCCACACTACACAGCAAGCTCTCTACAAATGTTGAAAGAAGGAACTAAGGAAAGAACCCACTGCTGTTTGTGGCTCTCTTTCTCTTTACTTCCTGTACTGTTCTATTTTATTACTCAAGATAAAGCCTAAAACAGAGAACGGACAAAAATATCACGAAAACTATTTCCTGACAAAACTATTTTAAAACATGAGAATGGCTGGCTAAGATCGTGTTGGTTTCTTTCAGATTTTTATTGTCTGGGTGTGGGTTCTCTCAGCTGAGTGGCGAGAGAATCAAAAGGTGTGTATAAATTCTGCATTCAAGTCTGAAAATGCTCTCATCTGCCCTACCACCTGAAGCTTACATTTTATGAGGTGGCTTCTCCTCGGGTAAACGAGGACAGAAGGGAGAGGGCGGACCTTAAGAGCTTTAGGGAGGAGCCGGTAGTTGCAGCTCAGGTTTGGCAGTCAGCTGCGGAGTAGCGGCCCAAGAGAAAAAGAACCCACTCGGTCGCACGCACCGGCTCATTCTGCGAAGCCCTCCAGTGATACTGAAAATCTCTGCCCTTTGGCCCTTGCCCCCGGCACCTCTCCTGCCCCCCAATCCCCCACGCCCGCCCGTCCCTCGGGAGCTCTGGGCCTCTCACCCGCTGCCAAATTCTCACACAGCCTCAGCGGGACCCTCAGAGCGTAAAGCAGCCCCAGCCCCGCCACGAACCACAGCGAGGCCCCAGTGCCCGCCAGCCCGGCCCGCAGCCGCTCCCACCAGCCCAGCGGCGGACTCAGGCCGGGAGCAGGGGCAGGAGGAGACGCCGCAGCAGTCGTTGCTTCACCTAAGCCGTCACCGTCCGCCATCTTGCCGCTCCCGGTGGCGCCGGGAGTTGGGAGGGGAGGAGGGCAGGAAACCGGGAGTCGGGAATCCTGGGATAGTGGCGGACCTGAAGTTGGCCTCTGTGAAGGCTGAGAGTCCCAGGGAACGGCGACCGAGAAGATTTGGAAGGTGGAGGAGCGCCCAAGGACTGGGGCTACCTATTCCTTCCGAGGGAGGGAAGGGGCGGATAGCGGCACCTATTCTTCAGGAACTGGGCTAAGATGTGACCCGGAGTGAAGTGTTTTAGCCTTCATACGCGTGAAGGTCACCTTCCACCCCATTCCTGGGGTTGAAAAAGCCACCGACCGTTCCAGAGTCGGAGCAGCACTTAGCCCTTTGGACTCGGCTGCCATGGAGAGCACTGGTACTGGGAAAATCTACAGGAGTAGCGACTGCAATTTGATCGGCCGGAGCTCGGGCGCCAATACCAGCCGAAGCACACTCCCAACGTCCCATAGATGAATGGGAAAATTAATGTAATTCAATGAGAAAAATATTAGACTTAAAATCATTTAAGTCACGCCGACTTACTGGGGCGTCGGCGCCCGGGCCCATGACCCACGCCCGTAACTGACATGGCGCCCTAGCGGTCGGCGTTTCCGGGCGGATCTTTCAGACGGCCTTCGCTGTGATTCCATCATTCGGCCTCCTTCCCGGCCTGCCTCGCGCCAGGGCCGGGCTGGGCCACAGCAGCCCAAGATGGCCGACTTCGAGGATCGGGTGTCGGATGAGGAGAAGGTAAGGGGTCCGCCTCTCTCTCTTACCTCTTCCCGGGACGGGGAACGGGGCCCCGACCCGGCTGCGGTGGGAACCCCGGCAGTACCCCCAGAAGAAAGAAGCTTCTTGGCCTTTGCTGGCATACGCTCTCCGCAGTCGGGATGCTTCCCTCTTGAGGGGCTTTCCTCTGCCTCACGGTGGCCCCAGTTCCCCATTCCTCAACTCTCTTTTCCACCCGGGCCTGACGCACAGCCCAGTGGCCTTCCTGCGAGAGAAGAGACTTTACCTTATTGAATCGTGACTGTGGACTCTTTTTTGTATTTAAGAGAGGGGGCGATGATGATGTCGCGACGTATCAAGAAGCAGTTATTTTACCGCCTTTAGCTGCTGGGGCTCACCCCATCCCCCCATCTTTAGCTATGATTGGGGCTAGCTTAGGGCGAGTCACTTCCTGGTCAGGGTGGCCTCTTAACTTCCCTTTTGCTCCTCCTTCCTCAGGAAGTGATTTTGCTGTCACGACTTCTCGACAGGGAGAGGTCTCTAAGGTGTTGGCCGCCTATCCACACACACCTCTTTTCCCACATGCTGTCGGCTGAACTAATTCGCAGTAATAAATGTGTAAGCCTCAGGGACATTTGCTTCAGGATTTGAACACCACTCTTTTCTGTGTAGACACTCCCTTGATTGTATGTATACGGCGCCCGCGGTGACTCCATCCCTTCCATCTTACAATCTTTTAACGATAATTTTTGAAAAATAGTTTTCCATTTCTTGTTAACAAGGCTAGCCAATGATTTTTTCTTTTTAACTCCAGAAAGGTTTTATGTAGCAAATAAACTTCATGTTAACACATTCAAGTCTGGACAAAGCATCCTGCCTTCTTTGGTGCTCCAGTGTGGTATCTTTTTGATTATAGTTGAACTTGACACTGAGTAATTTGTACACTTAATTTCTTTAAAAGTGTCTTAAATACAAGAGAATATTTCACCTTAGGTGGAATAACTTTTTTCCTGACAACTGCACACCTTTCTTAACAGTTTGTCAGGCTTTTCAGTAAATATGTTAAAGATTTTAGAGTCCATGGAAATTACAATGGTTCATTACATAACTTGTAAAAGGACAAGAATTATGTCTTTTGTTTTCCACAGTGGTTTTTACAAAATGTACACCCTTGAATGCTCTGTAAATGTATCTGGGGTTTTCCTCTTTTAATAAAAGAGATTGGGATGGCAAAGGGGACTGTTTATGATCCAAGAGCCCTCTGTACAGAATAATTTGATATACATATGCCATGCCATTTTGAAACGCTGAAGAATGTGCTAAATATTCACATGCCGTTGAACAACACTTCAGCATTAGATTTTCTCATACTTGGAAATCGATTCTCATAAATGTATAAGATTTGGGGGGGAAAGGGCATTTTACACTGTATATGAACTTATGCTAGAGAGAAAACTATAATAAAATGTTTATTCTAAGGCAAACAGTTATGATTCACATGAAATTAAGTTACAGTGAAAATCATGGGATAACAAAACATTTGTTAGCCCAACTGATGGTCCTCTTACTTTAAGCAAAAATACTGTTACAGCAAAATTTCACTAAGAATTTAAGGTAATAAACTTTGAAGTTTACCAGTGTTGGGTTTTTGTTTTTGACACAGGGGTAGAATGCCTTTCTAATTAAACTTGGGGGGAAAATATGTATTTCAAAGTGTAAAGATGTCTTTGGATATTGACAGTGTTCAAATTAGTAACATTAACAGCCTTGATTTTGTAATAGCAGATCTCCGACCAGTTTTCTCTTATATCCCAGCATACTTCTTTTGCTGTTTAATTTTAGTAATGACAAAGCAAGCAAATCATAATTAGTAAGGTAAATCTACTGCCAAAAAATGTTGATGAATTTTATATTCAGTGAACAGGTTTTAGATAAACTACATTGTTTTCATTAGTGAGATAATTAAGAATAGCTGATATAAAAAAATCTCATATAATAAATCCATATGATTTGGGATTACTGAAATTTTGTTAGATTTTTATTCCCAGAGATGAAGTGATCTGTATTTCTCTGTTGTGGATCAATAAGTAAAAAGAAAGGGCTTTGACTTGTAAGATTACTTAAATTCTCCTTCAGTTTTATACCTACCTTGACCCCTTTTCCTCCAGGCTTCTGATGCCTTTTAACTGAATTCAAGAATTGAAAAAGTATTTTTCCAAAAAGACTTGTTGATATGAATGTCTTAGCATTCATAAACAATAAGTGACCCTTAAGCGAGATTCTTGTTGTACAAAACTTTCATAACCAAGGCACTATTACAAACAAGATATTTTCAGGCTTAGTTTGTATATTGACTCTTCCTCGAAGGAACCGTGAAGTTTTCATTTTTTTTAAATTTTAACTAAGACCTCAACTGCATTTGATTTGATTTTTTTTAACACGTGTGTCATGCCAAATATATTTTAATACTGCTTTTTATCTTTGTTACATTTTCTGAAAGCAGTGAACCCAGAGGTGAATTTGGTGGTGATGGTCTCTGGTTTCCTTGCAAGTATTTCTATAAAAGCTAGTAAGATCAACCATTCTCATAACCAACTGCTGAAGTTTTTTTGTTTTTTGTTATTTTTTTTGCTGTACGCGGGCCTCTCACCGCTGTGTCCTCTCCCGTTGCGGAGCACAGGCTCCGGACGCGCAGGCTCAGCGGCCACGGCTCACGGGACCAGCCGCTCCGTGGCACGAGGGATCCTCCCGGACCGGGGCACGAAGCCGTGTCCCCTGCATCGGCAGGCAGACTCCCAACCACTGCGCCACCAGGGAAGCCCACTGCTGAAGTTTTTATCACTTTATAAAGAGGAAGTTGGGTTTTTTAACTTCTGCATTGTTACCTGAAATGGTCATGATGAGGTGCCTAAATAAAACAGGAAGTTGAAAGTATAATAACTTGCAGAAATAACTACTTTTAGTTTTATCTTCAAGTTCAGTTTCTGAGAATGAGCTCTACTCCCCTAGTTACTTAGACTCTTCAGTTACTTGGTTCCAAAATGAAAAGATGCCATAATTAGGAAGCTTGAGGTATGAGGTGAACTATGTGTTTGGATTCTTTGTACTGACTGTTTCCTTTATTTCATGATTCAGCATTTTTAAAACATAAATGCAGACTGAATTTTAGGGCTGAAAAAAGTGCTAATAGCACATTTTTTTCCCTTCAACCTAACTAGTAGAATATTTGTGTACAACTTCAAAAGTACCATAACTGAAAAATGGATCCCTTTGCTTTTAGTTTAGACAATACCGTCTTTAAGGCACTTTTTGAGAAATGGGTTTATCAGAATTATCTAGGAGAGGGGTGGAAAATGTTGTAAATAGATACTGAAATTTGAGGGCTCTGTTAGAGCTCATGAAAAATATTTATACTTTTAAAGTGGATTTCCTTGATGATGTGTTACCCCTTTAATTTAGGTGAGTTATTACCCTTACAGGGCGAAATAAACCCTAAAGCTTAATTGCCATGGCTATTTTGTGATAAGTCGTTGACTAGAATTAATACTACCATTTTTAAATCTTCTCTTCTGTTAGCTTTGCTGAGTAGTATTCATATGATCTGTTACAAAATCCTTGGACAGGAGCATAAAGCCTAAGCAGGTACAAACTCAGATGCCAATCTTTGGTGAGGAGTGTAGGTTCATTATAATTTCTTCTAGAACATCTAGCTGTTTTATTAGGACCAGCCTTAATGCTAAGCAAAGCAGTGTAATTTGTCAAAAAATTCAGACCCCAGGTTGGTCTAATTCAGAAGCCATGCTTTTTTCACTATACTGTTTTTAACATGTATCCGTGAATGAAGAAATCAGAATAGAGTCATCCATTTAATGAATTATAAATGAGGTATTGTGGGGTAGTGGGAAGGAATGATTCTGAGCCTCAGGAGATTTGGCCTTTCCTTGCTATGCTTTTGGTCACCAGTGTGATTTTTGAAAATTCACATACCTCTGTGGGCCTCGAAAGTTTTCTTCTAAAATAGGTAAGGGAAATTGGATCAGACTGACTGAACAAAGTTTAATGAACTTTTTCAAACTCTAATTTAAAAAAAAAACACACACAACTCTAAGAAACTGAAACATTAAAATGTTCCAGGAGTTTCTGTCATTGTTTACTTTGGCACATTTGCCCCATAACGAACCTGTGAAATTCTTGGTTACTGCAAGCAAGTCTTTTTATCTAGTGCCTAGCATGCCCCATAACGAACCTGTGAAATTCTTGGTTACTGCAAGCAAGTCTTTTTATCTAGTGCCTAGCATACTATCAGGTACATAGTGTAGGCACAAGCTATTGGTATGAAAGAGACCAATCAATCACAGGTTCATTCATTCTTATATTTCCCCAGCTCATGCTCCCTCATTCTCCCTCCCCAATTATTTCTGGTAATCTGTAGGTATTTCTTGTGTTCAAGAATGTGTCCACACTCTGGGTGCCTCTTCCAGCATTCATTGTGCCTGAGCATCTACTGCCGTTACTGGTGCTCTGTCATGGCACTGCTAAGAACATTTGATCCCCTGGGAGCATTTTCCTAATACCGTAAAGTTCCAAAGCCTTATTGCATATCAAAATCAGTATGTATACTGTTGTCCCTAGGTATCTGTGGGGTAGTGGTTC